ATCAACAAAATATATTGTTTCCTCAAGAACAAATTATGTCGATCCAAAATAATGTCGATGTTGATTCAACTATAAACATTTTGTTGATTTGATGAAATAATGATCATTTTGATGAGAATATATCTTTGAAACAACATGCAAGTTTTCTTATTCCGATGTAGCGATGAACTCGTTTCGAACGGATCATCTGCTTGAATAGAGCAACGAAATATGTAATATCAATTGAATATTTTGTTCATTCTACATCAAGTTAAATTTTCGACTCTAGATGGCGATCATTTCGCCTCGTCTATGCATGCTTCGAATTCATCATATACGTGAGGCCGGATTCTTCGTCTTTGAAATATCAGCTGGATAAATCGAACTTAGGATGATTAGCAATCCGAAATAGTTTTGCATTAGCTGAAGGGAAGTGAAGACTGGAGATCTATGCTAGAAGTCGACTAGTTTCCTAGTTTAGTTTATTCTTTCGATGATTTCATAAAACTCCCGAATTAATAATGAATTTGATTCAACAGAACAATTTGTCGAATGAAAATACAATCTCTCTTGAATCAACGAAATATTCCATTGAATTAACAAAATATTTCATTGAATTAACCAAATATTTCATTGAATTAACCAAATATTTCCTTGAATCAACCAAATAATTCATTGAATCAACCAAATATTTCTTTGAATCAACCAAATATTTCTTTGAATCAACCAAATATTTCATTAAATCAACTAAATATTTGATTGAATCAATATCTTGTTATTCCGAATCATACAAAATGATTGTTTGAGTCAATTCAATATCTCTTCATGAACATCATGGATGTGCTTGATTGAATAAGATCCAGAGTTTATTCAAGACATATTTACTCAATTCAAACTTCAAATTCGCTCTGAAACAAGATATAGATTCACTCATTTCAAGATTATATTTTGTCGTGCATATATGACACTTTTATTTGCTTCATTCAATTAAATTTTGCTTGATTCAACGATTCCTTTTTTTCGTGTATGCGTTGCGAAGTATTTATTTTCAAATAAATGTATTTGTTGCAAAAATTTCGTCTTTTCTTAAAATGTATCGTTTTTAAGAAAATTGTGTGAAAGGGTGGGAGAAATTTCAGATATTTCATTTCCGATGATTGTTTGTGACCTTTGAAGTTTCCCTGTCACAGTTTACAAAAACCATATACAGGATGAACTTTTTGATATAAATTGATCTAGCAAAATTTTTCAAGAACGGTCCTGAATTTTCCTAATTCTAAACAAGTCAGTCGATTAGAGAGCAGTAGCAGGATATTCCATGCGGAAATCAGACAAATCGAAGAAGCTGTTGGAAAGTTATGACCAAAATATGTTTCCATAATTCACCCTATATATTAGTAGAGAAGAGGAGCAGACACTTTCTGATGGTCATTAGGTCCCCTCAGGTGCCTCTATTCGTGGTTGGAGTATGTACAGTTCCTCATGACTCACCCTGTATAGTGTTAGGAAGTAAGGCTTTCCCTAGTGAACATTCATTGGTCACGTTTTTGGCACAATGAGTATTTTATTTGTATAATCAAATTATTGACATGTACAACACAATGAAGTTTCCAATAGATTAACGAAACACAAAAATACGTATATTATGTAATATCAGTTCGTAATTATTATGAAAATATTAATCCATATACGGGCACATGTTGTATTCCAAATATGTAAATTAGATGCAAGTTCTTGTCCGACAATTCAACGACTAATTTGTAATGTGCGTGTTATCTCTGGAACACCGTAGAAAAGTTGGAGATCTGGCTCTATTTTATAGATATTTTCATGGACGATGCTCTTTTAAAATATCAACAATTGTACTTCCCTTTTGGCAGTCCTCGCGAGATTAACCCGTCGAGTTGAGGCTTCACACCCCATCGTGGTCACTTTGGAGACTTGCAGAACATCTCTTCCCAAAGACTCGTTCATCCAACGAACAGCGAGGCTCTGGAATACATTGCCAAGGGAGGTGTTCCCGAGGCATATAACCTCCAGGAATTCAAGAAGAACACCAATTCCTACCTCATTTCCCGTGGTTCTCACGATGTTCTCTGAACATTACAGGAAACGTGGGAACCAGAACATGAAAAAAGTTATACTGAAATATGTTGATCAACAGTTTATCGGAACTTGTTCGTCTGAAGAAGTATGTCCTAGAACTTATAACCTCCAGAACTTCGAAAATATTCCAATACCTAACTCCTGATCCTCAAACCCCTCTATATAGGTACGCACAAGAGTTGAAAAAAAAACTTGTAATTTTCGCAGTATATTTGCCATACATTGATTCAGGTGGGAATAATGACGAGGGGTTCTCTTATTCCATTATCAGCATGCACTCGAATCACAAGACTTATCAAAAATAATATCAGGAAAAAAATAAATATAAACAAACTCAGAAGTATCAGTGTCAAACGCGTGGTATTTGTATAAATGATCTATTATTATAATGATATTATTTCATTATTAGCCGTATATTAAGTGGAGTATACTACTCGCGATAATGACTTTCAGAATCTCTTAAATGTTACTTCCTCGCTGCTAACGCTACTTGGTTCGTGAATATTCCTCGAGAAGAACAGCTATCATTATTGACTCGGGGTTTGATCTACTGTTGTGAATACCTATTGAAAAGATGTTTTACGATTATTTTGATCGTATTCGATGCTGCATGGTGTGAATGGCGTTAGTTGATTCATTTCAATATGTTCACGCTGTCATTTCAGTAAATAAGTTTGGTGTTACCTCTATATGTTGTAAATATCCAGAGATATTTTTATGATAATCGTTTTATGAAATGGTAATTTTCATTAAAAGTGCGGAAAATGATACTTTCTCGCACGCGAATGCCGTTGACCCGAACGACGCGAGCATATTATACAAATGTTTTTCCATTACTTTAGTGTGGAAAAAAATTTCCCGCACTAGTGTGGGAAAACTTTTCCTGCTTTACTGCGGAAAAATGACACTTCCCAAACTGAATTACGTATAGGATGAATCACGCATGCTTGTAGAAAAAAGTATTTATCTATTTGTATTCGAGCGATTTCTGCAATCAGTTGTGAAATGTGGATTATCATCAAGCGCGTCACACTGTATAAATTGAAACAAGCAGCATGCGGACTGATCCTACTCAGAATGCTTGGTGCTTATACTGATGAGATTAAATCATGAAAATCGTCAGAATGGTCTACTGTATTCATCGCTTCAACCTTGTATATCCAATTCAATTCGTTGCTTCTTCTACAATTATGTAAAATTTCCAGTTGTGACATTACATCAATTATTATTTTGCTACTCACATAACGAATGAGTTATAAAATTGTGATGGAAAAAAAAAACAATGAATCCTATCGTTAAATTATTTCATTGCATTACACCAAATTGAATTTCGGAAATAATTATATTAGTTTACTTTCCAAGTTCAATCAAAAACAATAATCAACATTTTGTTCAACAATTCGTTTCGCACGATAATAGTGATATTTGGAAATGTTCAAAATCGTAAGTGAATTATAAACATATTGTGATATTAAATACTAAATGATACACAAAGTCATCTTCACGATATTTAATGTGATTAACCCATAAAAAATGTTTCGAACATATATATGTCATATATATGTCCGAAACATATGAATGTTTCAGTAAAAAAATGTTTCAATTAAAGAATATTCCCAGAGAGTGGAAAGATATGATATATGCGCAAACTCCTCTCTTATTTCTGCTAGAAGCAATCAAAACAAGTTTTTGGACTCGTTTCAATCATACTTGCAAAGAGAGGATACTCTTCGGTTAGGACAGTCCAGTTTCTCATTATTCTATAATGTATTCACTAACACTAATGGATTATTTTACTTAAAGCTCAATACTCCGATTGCCACTACAAGAATATTCGCTCAACTGCGCTGTTGTGGAAAAACATCTGCAAAATTTTTCTTCGGTAATTGCTCCTATGTTATCAACACTGTCCCATTTACGATAAGGTGAGAGGACAACTGAGGCCACACGCAAATAGTTTACACGAGTTGGCTGACCTGTTAGAAACAGCCACCCCCAAAATTAATGAATATTTTTAAGCTCCGCTCTTTCATCATTAACGAATAGGTTAGATCATTGAATATGTAATTTTAATTTTCTTCTCTTCTTTTTTCCAAGTCTTTCTCTAGCATAGAAATCAAACTCTTGTTACAAGAATATTGTATTCTTTAAAAACAATAAATATATCTATCTATCTATCTATCTATCTATCTATCTATCTATCTATCTATTTGAATGTTTCAGTAGATCAGTATATCAATATGCAAATCAGTAGATCTCCTAAAAGATTATGAATGTTTCAGTAGATCAATAGATCAATATGCAAACCAGTAGATCTCCTAAAAATTCAGTATAGGATTGGCAAACCTGTCGCTTGCTCACACGTCAATCTTGTGGTTCCCCGATTTATATTTTTGTTTTCTGACAAAAGCAAACGACGTCGCGCACTCTTGATGTTTGTGTAGTGGTGGTAAAAAGTACATTATATTGATATTATCTCTTATTTCATCATGAGTGATAAACGCAAGTTCTAGCATTTTCATTCTTAGTCAAGAAATATCAAGATTTCTTGTTTTCTTGACGAGAAATCTTGATATTGACATAAAATTCCTTGTCTTGCCTTGGAGTCTAAAATTACTCCTTGCCTTGGTCTTGTCTTGAGATCAAGACATGAAGTTGACGACCCCTAATAATAATGCTGAAGCAGTCATACTAGCTGCTTGTGCATATCAATTTCCTGCCTGGAATAAGAATGGGGAAAAATTTATAATGCAAATCCTGTTCACAACAACAAGACGAGTGGTGTTTTGCCATGTTGAGTAGGTATGTTAGACTCCAAATCCGAAGACTTCACATTTTCTGATTTGCCTTCCGATAATCAGTTAGCATCTTTGCATTGCTTCATGGATCGTAATTATGTATTATTTTCTCCACTTTCAGATTGCACTCGCAGTAATCTTGTCTCCATCGGACGCTGTCCCCATTTCGGAATGTGAAATTTTCCAATCTTTGGGTCGTCCTTGCATTCTTTCGAATGGTATCGACCATAATGCTGGTGCAGTCATCCTAGGTACCGGTGCATCCATGTTGGGAAGTGCCGGTTCACCCATGTTCGGAAGTGCTGGTTCATCCATGTTGGGAAGTGCTGGTCCATCCATGTTGGAAAGTGCTGGTTCTATGTTGGAAAGTGCTGGTTCATCCATGTTGGGAAGTGCTGGTTCTATGTTGGGAAGTGCTGGTTCATCCATGTTGGGAAGTGCTGGTCCATCCATGTTGGGAAGTGCTGGTCCATCCATGTTGGAAAGTGCTGGTCCATCCATGTTGGAAAGTGCTGGTTCTATGTTGGGAAGTGCTGGTTCATCCATGTTGGGAAGTGCTGGTTCATCCATGTTGGGAAGTGCTGGTTCATCCCTGTTGAAAGGCTTATCTCCTTCGGCAGTTTGTGTCGATCCTTGTAAAAAGGGTGCTGCTAGTAAACCCTTAGTGAGTCTTTCTACCAAAGTAGATGTTAATATACATCATACGTCATCACTTCTATGCAAGATTAAGGGTTGTTAGTAGTTGAAGAGGAAAAATGTTCGATGAATCAATATATGTAGTCTATATTCTGATCAGAATAGATGCTGAATAACAATCTGAAGTAACATTGTTGTTTTTATTCGTCAGAAGTGCTCGCAGAAGTTGAAATATATATTCCCCATATCGAAACTATGAGCAGTAAGACGGGACAATAAGTTGAATACAGTTCTGAACACACTAAACCGACCACTCATAATTTGACTCTATTTCGAAGACCTGTATTTTTTGAAAAAATTGACCGATCTTCATGCGGTTTTCGATATCAGATGTGATATTTTATCGGCTTCAAAGAGAGCAACTGAAAAACTGAAAAAGTCCGCAGAGCAAAACTTACACAGGGTGTAAAGTGGAACCATTACACTATGGTCTACATTTCCAATGCTGCCAGAACTCGAGAAATTTTTTCTGATCAAAAGTCAGCCATATTGTGATACACTGGGACTTCGTCTCGGGACGTTTTCGTGATTTCTCCATAATTGGCCATTGGAACAAAAATTAGATTATTTTTCGAAAGTCTTGTATTTCTTGAATTTTTCTCTAGAACTTCACCTGAGCTGACTGTTGGGAAGAACTGTTCTCATGTATTGTGAAGGACAATGAGAGACGTAAAAAGCACTATTGTGGAATACACAGGATGATATGAAAATAGGACAAAATCTCATTTCAGTAACAAAAATAAAAAATGGTGACTGAAACCATGGCCCATTTGATTCAGTATATTCAGAAACGGCCTTCTTGATATCCATTATTCATATTAGACTATAACTCGAGACGTTTTAGAAAATTCACCTCTAATTGAAATACAGGTTGAAAATTCTCAATTCAATCTTGTTTCCTGATATCGATGATTCTTATCAACTGATTTCCAATATTCATTGCCCAAGTATGAGACACAGAGTATTGTTGATCGATATACAGAGTGTTTCACAACAAAAAAAAGTCATTCGTGTCAGAGATTTTTTTTTGAAGTTCCAAGCTAATCAAGATCAGAGTTTATACAAGTATACTTCTCATACAGGGTGAGTCATTAGTGTGGCAAAGTGAGATAACGGCTTTACTGTTTGAGATAGATGCACACAAATTTCAGAGATGATCTAGAATCATGAGCAGCACATTTCCAAATCATTTCGCTTTGCACAGGGTGACTCAGAAATGCGTGACGTATCAAAGTTACACTTTTTCTTATGGGATACCCTGTACCTATGTATAGTTGAATTCAATGATAGATTGAAAATTTATAGAAGGATATGAATGAACATTTGTTATGTTAACGTTCACCACCCTGTGGAATTTCTGAAATTTCCAGACTTCCATACCTAACCATGTATCATTCATGTATATACATGTAGATTAATTCATTATTATCTATAGTCTGAAGTTTCGATATATTTCTTCGAGAAATGGGTGAGTATTTCTTTCAAGGTCAGCAGTTGCCGAATCATCAGATGCGAATTTCAATAAGACAATAAAAAGACGAAGAAGTAATCCACCTTGAAATCTCGAGATATTCCTTGTCAATCTGCACCACTTATCATGATTATCTATCTCCACGTCTGTACTAGGTACTTGATGCTAAATCATGGAATGTAAGATATATACGGTAAAATGTATGGTGGGTGTAAAATGTTTCTTACCAGACGAACGTGGAACCTGAATTAATATGATCCAGTATATCCAGTATAAATATCATTAGATGCAACCCTCTATGTAAAACAGATGCATCGATTTTTGAATAGGAATCAACTCTATAAAACCAGCTGTGTATAATATTAGAGAAAATTCATCAGTGAAAATATGATATGTGGCGATGCCAACTTTAATTAATTGAATTATGCAATCAGAACAACATTTCAGATTGTCTACAGAAGACAATAAAAACTTGTTGCATAATTACAAAGAGTATCAGTTTGACAGGTGAAATGATCCAGCAGGAGGAGTAAACTGTTGAACTGACACGATTTGTAATTATGCAGGAAGTTTGAGACCATCAACCATCCTCTTGATATTAGGTATCACTGTCAAAAAATCCAAAGATTAGAAGTTTCACTTTGACAGTTCTAGTAAGTATAACAAACTTTGATAGGAACACAATGAGTGCACTGGCTGATGTAGTGTAAGGGGTTTGGACCTCAACTCTTCTTCCTGAACAAATCAATCAATTCATCAATATTGAATCAGTAATTATTCTATACCAGAATGATAATTATAATTCCATATTGCGCCTCCATATTATCATCCATTGTAAGACTGAGAGTTCAGACGAGTAAAAATAGTTCCAATGTTCTGCCTACTTTTGTTGTATGTATTAAGTGATTATCTGGGTCAGGAATACGATTGAAAATAATAAGTATCATATAATGCATTTCTCTAACATTTGTTGAGAGCTTATGGCGAGGCTTATGGACATTCATTGGTCACGTTTCTGGCAGAAGGAGTATTTATATCTAATCAAATAACTGACATGTTCATCACAATGCAATTTACAATAGACTAATGGAACACGAAAATATATGTAATATCACTTCGTAATTATCATGAAAATAGTCATCCATGCACGGCACATATTGTATTCTAAAAATATCAATTATACTTCGCAGCTTTGTCCTCCGTTATTACTATTTTACACACTGTAGTAGGTTTGATTTTACCATTTTCGTACAAGTTGAAAGAAGTGCAAAATTTTTGGCTATCGGCAACATCGCATTCGTCATCCTATAAGCCTGTTCCCTTGCGGTGTGACTGGTGTGAGTGGTATTCGCTCGGGTATTCGTCATTCTGTTTGATTGTACCATCGAGTATAGATAGTGAAGTGCACAATGGGAAGAACAAAGAAAGCTTCGAAAAGAGAATCAAAACGAAAACTGAAATACAAAATGAGGAAATTAAAGAAGAAAATGGATGACCTCACATCCTCAGAAAGTAAGTGAAATCATTTTAGGAACTCCTAGAAGAAAAATAACCTTGTGAAAACTGCTACTAGAAACGGCATCCCGTTTCGTCAACGGCAACCATTCTTCACATGGTTTTTGCTTTCGTTGAAGTAGCACTGAAATCGGCATCCACATGGATTGCATGTTTTTCAGTTAAAATAACCGCTAGTCAGAGTTCACATGAATCTCGACGATCTAGCCGGCCACCTTATCATAAAGCAAAAAACATAAGTTTTTATTCGAGCCTTCGTGCATACGATAGGCAATTGGCATGAATGAGTCATTATTCGGATCTTGCACATACAAGATGTTCAAAAAATAACAAAAACGAAAATAAATCGAATATTTGACAACCATGAATACCTGCAGAGCATTTTTTGATTACAGGTTCATTCAGTACATCCTCAATCTCGACATCTTCCGATGAAGAAATGTCGGATGAAGAAAACCCACCAAAACCGTCAGAGGAGGTTGTAATTGATATTAGCCCAGATATATTATCTATTTTGGGCTCAGACCCCAAAGATTCCAATTTAGAAGGGCCTGAAATTCACAACGAAATTGCCAATCGTTGGAACACAGTAATTAGAGAAGGCATTGAGAAAACAGAACGAAAAACTCTCATGACCAAATATCCAATAATCAAAAACTGCAAAAACCTAACAGCTCCTGTACTAAACCCAGAACTAAAGGCAATTATAGGCGAGGGGGCAGGTAGGCAGGACTTGTTCTTAACTAGAATTCAAGAACAACTAGGCTGTGCGATTTCAGCACTGTCGGGGCCCCTGAACAATCTGTTTTGTTCCCCAACAGAAGAAACGAACCCGATCCTACTGAGTTTAGTGGAATCGGCCAAACTATTAGCTGACTTACACCACAGTCTATCGCTTCACCGCCGATATATGATACTTCCAGTTGTGAAGCCAGATGTTAGGAAAATAATTGAAGAATTTCCTATCGAAACTCTTCTTTTCGGCGAAGCATTCACCGACAAAGTGAAAAAAGCCAAAGACTTACAAAAAACGTCCTCAGAACTAAAAATGTTCAAAGCGATGAATCAGCCATCCACGAGTGGGTTACAAAAATTTCAACGAGCAAATCAAAATTCAAAAAACTTCCAGCGCCAGCAGAGCCGGCCTCCACGGAAGAAAGGGAAAGAAACAGAGGGGAGGAAATACTACAAGAAGGAAAACAACAAACAAGAGAGGTCGAGGAGCAGATGGAACTAGCAGAGGTAAATTATGCTGGCAGGCTTTCAAATTTCTTTAATCAGTGGTCCAATATTACCGAAAACCCAACGGTTCTTGGTTGGGTAAAGGGAATAAAACTCAGTTTCACAGAGAAACCGAAACAAGGAAATATATTCAACATAACAAACACTGATGAAGAAATTGAAAACTGCAAGATGGTTATTGAAAATTTGACCAAAATTGGAGCAATATCCGCTTGTAGCAATGAGGTGGAAGGTCAATTCCTATCCCCTTATTTCCTCAGACAAAAACCTAATAAAGAATTTCGGTTCATACTGAATTTGAAGAGTCTGAATAGATTCATCACGCCACCACACTTCAAACTCGAAGATTGTCGCACTGTAATCAGACTTATATACAAAAACGCATATCTTACAAACATTGATCTCAAAGATGCTTATTTCATATTGCCTATAGCAAAAAGCCATAGAAAATATCTGAGATTCAAATTTGAAAATACAATCTACGAGTTCAATTGCCTTCCTTTCGGATTGAACGTGGCACCTTACATTTTCACAAAAATCTTAAAACCCATATTGAAAAAAATACGAGAGGAAGGCATCATTTGTGTGGCATACCTAGATGACATATTAATAATAAGTTCATCAGTAAAAAATTGTACTAGAGACA